AGTACATACATGTATATACATGTTCATGGAGTGCATTTACAGTTTTAGGGGAGGCATGGTCAAAAGATGGAATGGAATAGAAATTATGAAAATAAAACTCTCGTCTGAATCAAGTCAATCATTGAGCTCTCTCTTGGTGAGTTCATGAACAGAGGAACTACATGTACATTGTACATGTAGCTACATACTGGTGCCTATACACACCGTACATGTACATCTACATGTATGTACTAATGCACATGTATACATGTACATGTTACTGTACCGGTACATGTACACTGGAGCCTGATGCATACATGTATATGTAGATGTTAAAAATGAAACGGGTACTTTTCTAGCATGTGTGATGACATTGTACATGAAAAATGTGGTAGCATTCTTTCTTTCCTATAGGTCAAACAAAATAAAAGTTGTATTACATGTACTTTGTGTCGCATGTATTACATTGGAAAAAGTAAGTTGGGTAGGTGGGTATTGTTTGTTTATTTTTCCTTAAGGTTTTTGGGTCAGAAATTTCTGGGTGCGATTTGCTAGGTTGGAGTGGGTAACGGGAAGGGCAACTATCATTTTGTTTGGCCTAAGCTCCAGGGTCAGCCCACCCTAGTCAGGTACTAATGAGGTTTATCGATCAATCAACGTGAATCCAAACAGTATGTGCGTGTACATGTACAATAGGAAAATGTCCCAGTAATACGGGGGATTTGTGGCCTGCCAGGGACAACTGATATTTAAACAAACACAGCTGCAAATTGTTAGTTTTGATCAGAGGACGTTTAGAAAATACCTGGGTTGTTGTTGTTTTCTTATAACACACTTTCATGATTTGTGAACATCTGTACATATATATGTGTTTTAGTAACTGGAAGGATGTGACTCGGCAACAGTATTGGGATTCTTAGAGTACCACAATTTTAGTGAATCAGTATCTAGTACCTGTTTTGAAAAAAAATTCAAGACAGAATAGCTACATGTACCTTGACGAGTACAAGCCCACCCCCTCCCCAAAGTAATGGAGTGAGACACACCTTCCAGTTGGTTGTAAAATACCACAGTCTGTCATCTGCTCATTTTGAAGAGCACATATTTTGAGATGACAGTGTTGTAAGGCGTAAGAATATGTAATGTACATGTACATTGTACATGTGTAAGTTTGGCCATGCCATTAGTACATGTACATGGATGATCTGTACAATTGTTTCCTTGCACATTCTTTCTTTGGGAAAAGATCTCTCCCATGTCTCATGTAATTATAAAAACAGGGAAAGGGTATCTCATCCTTTACCACATCTTTTTCCTCAACAGCCTCCTACTGGTATTTCGGTTAGTCCTCTTTTCCTGGTTAAAACATTGTACTGGTGTTTTGGCAGAAGACTGATGGTTAAAAACTCCTTTCAGGTGATACATGTTTATAATTTAAGTATTTACTGACTGTACTGGTATGTGTACAGTACTTCAATGACAAGAACTAACCATAGAGCTTGAAGCTGACAAACACAACACTTTGATGAGAAAGCATACTTTTTTTATTCAGGCCAACACGATCTTGTTTTCAACATTCAAATGGACCGTCTAATAGAGCTCGTTGCCCAAACTGAGACACAATGCTTCCCTTTAATGATCCATCACATTCCCAATGGCACAGGAGCCCGGACGCCATTTGTTTCCATTTTGCCGAATCACGGGGTCGTAGGTTCAGGCGAGGAATGCTAACCCAGATGTTAACATGACAGCTGGCCAGTTCCACAAACAGATAGCAGGAGAGGCATCTGATTGATGGGGGTAATTTGTCGGAACATTTGCTGCAGAATTCCCCAGCCTGCTCTGGTCTGTGCATGCCAAAGGCTCAGTGATCATAAATGCCATTAGGTTATTTCTTCCAGGAGAGAAATAGCTGTGGATATTTAAATAAGATTTTTTGAGAATAAGGCTCAGTAGAGAGAGAGACAAAGTTTTTCGTCTCGGTTAATTTTTCAAGTTAAAAGGGGAAGAGGCGGCTCTTTGTGTTTTTGTAATAAATGTACATGTACATGTTCTTCCCTGTGATGGCGAGTGGATGTTCCTGACTCTGTTTTTGTACATGTACATGTACTTACATGTACAATGTTCATGTATGTCTAAAAAAGTTTCATCATATCTAAAGAGGTTTTAAATTTACAAATATGGCTCTATGGATTTTTTGTGAGGAACAAATGTGGAAGCTTGAGTGGAAATACAGTCTGTTCCAAATATAACCCCCTCCCCAAATTTCTACATGGACATGTAGAAACAAATTAAAAGTCAAAATATGTTGCCAATTTAGCCCCTTAAAAAGGGAAAAGAAACCAGGGGAGGGAGAGGGTTAAATGTCACTGTGGACCAGAAACTGTTTGGTTCTTGTCTGGCATATTCCAGGGATGACACTGTTTCATATTTAATTTGCTTGTTAAGTGGACATTTTGTCCGATTTTCTTGGCCTTCTTCCCATGGGAACATAATCACCGTGATGGTTTCCACCGTGTCCTTTGCTCATCGGAAATGCAGGCCAGATACCAGAACATGTACTGTTAGACCTACCCCCTCAATCTTCACAGCAGACGTGGCTGACAGAGACAGGCCTGTAAATTGCATTGACAGATTTTTGTTTGTCATGGCGTGTGGTGCGCAATGTCAGAGATTCCACAGTTTCTCCCAATTTGTGGTGTGGCAAAGCACGGAGGAAGGACCACATGTTAGTACTGGTACATGTATGGTGCAGGTATTCAAAGAGCTGGGTGTTGGTGGGTACATGTACATGTATGCACTTGCAAATTAGTGAATATGCAAAAAGTCATACATGGGTTTAGTGTGGATAGGGGACAGAGAGTACCGGTACATGTGCATGTATTTGTAAAGCCCTAACAGTCCCAAATCCTCTGATTTCAATATGATTTTACACTGATCTACCCTAAGTGACACATATAAGCTTATTCTTACTAGGAACTTGTAGCACTTACATACATGTGCTGAATGTTGATTCTTGTGATTTTGAAGGACATTACATGTCCATGTTCAGGTACTGGTAGCTTGTCCATAGTACCCCGAAATGTACCCGGTACATGTACATGTATGTACATTTACAGTACATATCTACCAGTACGTGTACGTGGTGTGTGATGCGAAAGTCTCATTTGGGCCTTACTTTAATATTGGTGCCAGCTACAGATGTGAAACATCCTGGCGTCAGCTTATTTCATCCTTTATGTACAGTACATGCACATGAAGCTTTCATTTGTGAATCTGGAATACGCTATTAAAACTTCATTGGGTACGTTTTGCCTTATGCTAATGTACCGGTATACATAAACACAGTGTGGGTGCTGTGTTGTCCGAGGGTTGGAAAAAAGTTCACAAACTTACTCAGATGAAACTTAACCCACGACCCGCTGCTTAGTCGCGTCAGTGTCTTTACCGGAGCGCTGAGCTTGTTGGATTCCCTTGCCAGATTCAAGTCAGATGAATCATGGGTACTGCGCCAAATTCACACGTGTATTACCGCCATTTGTTCCTTTTTTTCACTTCTCATGAACTGCATTACAAATCAAAAGAAAAAAATTGCACAAAATGCAGTGTGGAATTTCCTGTACATGTATGTTTTTGACTTTACAGGTGCATGTCTTGAGTGCGGAGGATTTTAAGATTCCTGGGGGGGAGGAAAGCCTCTAGAATTGTGGTTAAGAAAGGGTATACTGCACCGGTATCTGCTGTTTCCATTATCCTGATGGAAGAATTGGTAATCTTTATGGAAATCGTTAATCTCTGCTGACAAACTGAAGAGGAGGAGTGGGGTTCATTGACCACGGGAGGGGTCAAATGCTGTCTTAAGATGTTGGGCAGCCTGCTGAGGGTGCAGGATTTCCTTTCTCGGCGAGTATCTCAGGCCGCATCCTGTCTCCTGCTCTACACTACAGATGCAGGTCTCATCACCTCATTCTAGCCCGCTTCCTTCAACAAGGGAGCCTTGCCCGAAGGAGAGAAGGCTTTGCCTGACCTCCCAAAGAGCTCCTCTTTATCCTTCACAACCAAGGGGGATGTATAAATTTCTCGCTTGTTCGTTGACAGCATTCATTAAAATCTGGTGTGTGTGTAATTGTACTGGTACATGTACCACTTGCATGTGTAACAGCATTGTGCTGAGGTCGGTCCTCTGTCCTTTCCAAATTACAGTTAACAAATGAGTTGCTCTATGAAGTGGTCAATGCACTTTGTGCCTGTTGCCGTTACTTACATGTGCATGTAGTAATTCACGGAAGGAATTATTCTGTGTTGTTTCCTTGGCCAATTAACGCACATGTACCAGTATAACGGTTTTCAAACTTTGACCCATGGAGAAACTGTCTGCTAAAGAGTGGTAAAGTTTCTTCAAAGTGTACATGTATGAATGTAAGATTATTATAAACTGGAATATACATGTATGCATCAAAGAGGATATATTGCTAAAAAAAAGTAGAAGAAAATGAAGCTACATGTTCATGCACCAGTATGTACATGTACCGGTAAATGTCTGTCCCTTTTGCCAGAGTATGATAAACTAAGTTTCTACATGCATGTACCAGCAAGTACATGTAGCTTTTAAACTAAAAAACTGCAGTACTAATATAATATAAGATATTATCAATGTCAGGAAACATTGTTCCCGTTGTATTGTCTTTGAGAGAATGCATTTTCGTTCATACGTGTACATGTAGTTCTTTTTCCTACACTATGTACCTACCAGTACATGTATCCTGGTACATGACTAGCCAGTGTTTGAAAATTGAGCTGCATCAGAGTTCCAAACATTTTACTTTACATGGATGATTCACCATTGCTGTCTTCCTCTGAAACACGTTTTTTTTTTCTCCTTGTTACCCTTACGACTTCCCTCTGTTTTGAAAAGCTCAGCCGCTGTGGAATTTCAAACCATTTGCATTGATGTTGTGATGATTCACCATATATATTTTTCTGTTCCCCCCCCCATCTTTTTTTGTTTTCCCCGTGTACAGACCGCAACAAGAAGCGGGCTAAGATCACGGCCCTGGAGCCGATGGACACAATCTTTGTGAAGCATGTCAAACCAGAGGGGGCTGCCGAGCGCGCTGGGCTGTCCACGGGTGATCGTATCGTCTCAGTCAACGGGGAGAGTGTGACAGGAAAGAGTTACTCACAGGTGGTGGGCCTGATCCAGTCAAGGTAAAGTGGGCCTCCAGAGTTGGCTTGTCTGAGTCACAGCCTAGGCTTTGAAGGGGCAGCGATAACCCCCCTCCCCAAAAAACAGTTTCTCTTCTGGGTTTTGAAAGAGGGGACTACCTTTTTTGTGTGAATGTCTCCATGATGGTGGCTGGATTTCCATGACTCTCTTGCTGGTATCGTTGTGCCAAAAGAAGTTTCACCATGTGTATATTGAGGTTTTAAACTTGCATTTATGGCAAAACACAGTATTTTGTCAGAAATGCAAAGGAGGCTTACGGGGAGCTAGGCGGTTAAGCTTGATGTACAGTACATGTATCGGTACAGTGCTGGATTGCAGAATTCTAATCAGTGTTTGTCTATCACAGATCAATAACAAGTCAAATCAAAAGTCTCACGCCAAGAGGGCTTTAACAGTGACAACACGTTAAGCTTAATATCAGGGTATATTCCAGAAGCTTGTGACTGGACTCAGTGACTTGAGATTACCTTATGATTGGCATTTACCAGTAGTGTCGTCATCGTCAATGGGCATGGTTCAGTTTCTGTATGAAGTGGGAAATTTTTGACACGTTCTATCTAAAAATGCTGCACCTGAGATGACTCCGGTGACTTTGGTAATGCTGTCACTGGTCATCTGCAGTGACTCCCCCCCCCTGGTTCTTCGCCACTGTTCTGTCACAGTTTCTCTGTGCAGTAAAAACCCCTAACACAATGCTTTCTGCCATTTGAAGGGAGCCACGGGGAATGTCCAGTGAAACATTACTGGATTTTCTGTTATTGCTTGTATATGTTAGGCAGCACTTTACCAGGTTTGCCATTGAGACTATGTGTTTGCCTTTATTGTATTGTGAAAAAAAACAGTGATAGGAAACTATGTTGTTTTTCCAAATGACCTCGGTTGATTTCCCCGACCTGGAATAAGTTTAGAAAGCTTTAGAGAAGTGCAACAATAGTGGTTTGGAAAGACTGCATAGTTGAATGACTCACAGATTAAAGTTAAAGGGACTATACAATCTTGGTTTCCTTTTAAGGAAGTTACTTCTTGTTCATCTTTGATGCAAAGTCCTTTTATCTCTGTTTTCTCTTCAGTGATTTGTATCTCAAACTTCTTGTTGTACCACGTGAAGAGGACATACTTCAGGTAGCCTATCCGACATCAGCCTACAAGACATCGGACAATTTGCCAGCCTCTCAACCACCAAAGCCAGAACCAGACTCCCACTTTGGTGGCAGAAGCGGGATAAATGATGCACCGTCTTCCAGTGAAGCTTCATATCCATCCCCTATTCTTCCAGCAGATAAGACAGAAGAGGGCCATGACACAGTGATTTTGCGCCAGGAGCCAGACCTTCTCAGCCACCAGACTCGACACAAAACAGAAATGGTTTTGTCTGTTGGCTCCAAGCCGATCAAGACTTCAACACCGGTCTATGACAACTGGTCTTCCTCAAGAGAAGCTCTTGACTCCAAAAGCCGGAGCACCCCAACAACCGGTGGTTCTTTGGATGCAGGACGAACAGGTTTTTCAGGCCAAACAAAACAGCCAGTAGACTCGAGGTTTGGATATATCCACTCTAGACCTGCAAGTGGAATCTCTGTAGCTTCCAGTACCTCATCTGCCGATAGCAGTGCCTCCGGGCAGAAAACTGGACGGACTTTCAAGATAACAAGTATCTTTGGCTCACACAGTCGGCAGTCACAGAGAACGGATAATGTGACACACAGGGCACCGGGCAGGAATGAACTGCAGCATAGACCTAGTAGCAAATTGGAGAGAAACAACGTGGATAGTTCTGCTGCGACCTCACTGAGTGTCTCGCATCAGAAGGCAGCCTCAGTTGATTACGGACCAGTGGTGAGGCTTCGGACTGGGACAGGACCAAACGATTACATAACCCTCACAGGACAGAGGCGAGGGGATCCAAGCAGTAATAAGCCCACCACCAGGCAGAGCAGCAGCATGGACAATTTGGCCTATAATACAGACAGTCGAGACGTGAGAAGCAGCAACGGGGGACAGGTGTCGTCATCATACGACAACTTGCATCTGTCGGGGGCCAACGGCACCGAGTGGGAAGTGCGGTCTGGCGAGCAAGCGAGGATCGCGTCAACTGGTCCCAGGCTCGGCAGTGACAGCCAGGTGAATTGGCAAGACACTGTCACCCGGCGCTACCACCGTACAAAACAAATGGAAACTTCCACGGCCGCTGTGACAACCATCGACCTCAATGCCAGGGGTGCCGTCGAGGAACAGGGCTACAAGGAAGTCGCAGCAGACCCCAACATGCGGGACCTCTTCATGAGACAAGCGCGGCACCAGCGAGACCGGAGGGGCTACGAGAAGAAGGAGGCTTCACTCTCCAGCTCCAAATCGGCAGACAGCATTCGATACATCGACGGAAGGCCAATGCGCAGCAACACTGTGTCTGCAGCCGACACCCGACCCCCCATCTCCCCCACTGAGAGGAGGTACTCGCAGTTCCCGGACAAAAGCACTGGCTACCCAGTTGGTCAGGCCGGGCCACGGGATTTGTACATCTCAGAAGCCGGGCAGCACTGTGCCAGCAGCCAGGAACAGCTTATTCAAGATAGCCGGGGCTATCACGACAGGCAAGCCCCATTGAATGAGGCGAAATACAGGGCTTTGCCGGTCAGCACGGTGAAAATTGTTGACTTGGAAGGCAACGTCAAAACAACAAAAGTGGCCGACCTGGCTGAGGACACAGCTTCACCATCCACCAGCAACATGAACACCGAGGAGGAGCCAGTCTCACCTACTAGAGTCCAGGACCGGATCAGCTACTGGCACAAGAAGTCGATCCAGGGTTCCTCAGCTGACCAGATGGACGGACTTTCATGGCGTAGAGGGTCCAGCAGGTCAAACCAACCTGACCGCCCTGATCCTAGCCTTGCACCAAGGTACCGGGCCAATGCGCACGTGCCCTTGCCCGGTGGGGGGCGGGAACGTGAGAAGCCCCCCGTGCCCAAGCGGGAGAGCAGCCGGGGCCGGGTGCGTGAGCGTAACATGGAGCGTGAGCGGCAGCACGAGCGGCGGATGTATGAGCGCCACCGCAGCAAGAGCTACGACCGCTCGGCCCAGCAGCGCTCGGCTGCCTGGTTCCGGCCGGCCCGCCGGCAGACCACGGACGACATGTCAGTGGACAGCTTGACAAGTGATGGTGCCATCTCGTTGGCCAGTAGCCGTAAGGAATCCACGGCCAGCAGCATCAGCGATGGATGCAGCCTGGACGATGAATACCCACCAGGTCAGTATGCAGGGTTAAAACACTGTGCTATGTTTTCCTGGTTTTGTTTGTGCTACGTGTGTCTTACCCAGAAAAGCATGTGCATTGAGTCATTGAACGGAAAGTATGAAATTAAGCCACAATATTTAAATTAACATGATGTATGCAGCCGATGATCAATACATTAACCACTACCAGCCGGGGACTCCAGGATCGGAGCCGTATGGTTTATATGTGTGGCCGGGGTCTCTGAACTCGGACAAAGGAAACAGGGCCCTGTAACAAAAGACCGTACTCCGAACAAAAGACCAGGCTGCTGGGCATGACCAGCATTTTTCACTCTCAAAAG